TGATTAGCCAAACTGAAATTAAGCAACGTTGCTGCACTTTTTCTCTTAGGGATTTGTATCTACATTTGAATGGCCACAAAATTTGTGATTACGTTCTAAGAATAATCCGAAGGTATGTCCGAAAAGGAATAATATAGCATCATTCTAAAGAAAAAAACGAAACTTTATTATAACCATACTGTAGTGATTTATGTTTTAATTTTATTGTTTTATGATTTTTGTGTAAATGATTATTAATAATTTACAATCAATAGCTTTGAATATCATGCCAACTATCTTAAATAAATATTGTACAATTGATTTTCCCTATTAAATGTTTCGTACATACAATATTTTTAAAATCACCAGAATAATGTATTAAATATAAGAAATTAGCTTAATTGAGACTAATAATTAGAAATTGCAAATGAAATTACTATGATGATTTTATAATGCTCTTAATTAAAATTAAAAAAAAAATTTTTTAAAAATATAAACTAGTTTGAATAGAGTTATTAAAGTTTATAAAAATGCTGAATAGTTTAATTCAACAATTTTTTTCATATAGCTCTCGGCCTCTTTCAAATCTAGCCTCATATTTAATTTACATCATAGTGTTCTTAACAATTTTTTCACATCTTTTGATTCCGCTTCGCTCGGCTTTTTTTCAAATCCTGGTTGTTTATTGCAACATTCTAAAAACTCAAAGTAGCATATTGTGTATTGGCATTATCAGAATCGCTTCTAATAAAGTTGTGAAACACTTGATCTCATCTTGATCCCAGATGTTTATATGAAAGCTATGCTTCCAAAAAATACAATAATCTCGGATTATAAAAATTTCAACATATCTACATCTATTGTAAAAATAATATAAAATTAAATAGCTAATCAAACGATGCTTACAATATTAGGAATGCTAAATTTTCTTCAACATTGGTTTTACTAGTCCGGAATCAATAAGTTCATCATTCCAGTTTATAAGTTAACATTGGTCCAGACATTTCTAATATTACTAAACGAAATTCAAAAATGAAAACAATCTTTCGGGATAAATTACCGTTACACACTTTCTGGTGCAAATTGTACTAATTAACGTTAATTGATTACTACTCAATTAAATTTGTCAGCCGCTTACCATAGTTTGGCCATACAAATATCCGAACAAACAAAAAAAAAATCTCCAGGATGCTACATTCTTAATTACAATAATTAAAATTGAGACAATCTTATTCGTTTACAAGTTGTACGTAATACAAAATATTCTAGAATTAATATCGTCTTTGTAACGTGTTATTATGTTCCTGGTTAGTGGTTAAAAGCTTTAATTTGTAACGCAACGATTCGAATTAAATAATTCGAATTTAGATTCGCAACCTTTTCTGTTCAAAATAATAGCTTTATGGTCATTTCTAAGTTGTTATTTAAAACTATTTGCTATAGTTTCTGTCATTCCTTTATGTTTATTAGTCATTCTTTATTGTTCTCTTATAGATATTTTTGCCTACTCGAAAGAAATTCGAGCAACCATTCTTTTTTCCCTTACAGTCTTGAAACGCATATCTAAAAAAGAACAATGTTGTTTAAATCAATCCAACTAATTTTTTTCATTTTTATAGTTGCAATTATAAATTATGAGAACGGGATTAATGCCGATAGTTCGGTTAATAGTCCCACTAATACCCTTCATGCAGTAGCAAGTACTGACAGTCCTAGCGCTAAAGCTTGTACAACACTCAATGCTTGCAGTAAAGCCAAGACTATATGTGGGTCTGCATTTGTCCCCCCTACGTTGAACAGTTCGAGTCATTATTCAGCGTCGGGTAAGAATCGAAACATTCTTTTGCTATATAGTTTTATTCATTTTATAATTAATTCGACAATATTTGTATTACTCTTTGATACAGACAAATGCGAATGTAGTATATTTTTTTATAACAATCTGACACAATGTTTAACTTGTTATAAAAACGCGAAATATAATTATGCCATTGATGATATGAACAAATGGCAATATGATTGCTCTGCTTTAGGTTTCGCATTCACTAGTACAGCAAATTCGTAAGTTTATCAAGTTTGTTTTTTCCAGTTAGATTAGCTCATTCTAATGTGTTTTTATCCTTCTTAGCTCAAATTCAGATAATTCCATCACCATTATGATATACTTAATTATGTGCGCAGCAGCAATTGCTATATTTCTTGGGGTATTCATCATGTGGTACCGAAAGAAACGTAAAATCAGACAAGCCGAAGGTAAATTTGTTTTATATGTAGCAATTTAAAAATACTGTATAATAAATCTTAAAGATATTTTATAAATATTATAGAAGATGGAAATATTTATGATGAACCGATGAATCATTCAGGAAAAAAAGAATATGGAGTTGTCCACCAGCCAACATTCCAGCTTCAAAACATTCAAATGAAACAACGTGCAAATGTGATGGGTTCAAATTGGAATGAATCGAAAAACACACTTGTAAACAGTTTGGGTTATATTGAAAAACAATCAACGACTCGGGAAGTCAGTGCCTTCGAACAAACTGCAACTCAGAAAGTAGGTGCTTTCGAACAAACAGCAACTCAGGAAGTTAGTACCTTTAAGCAAACGGCAACTCAGGAAGTTAGTGCCTTTGAACAAC